TTATTTAATAATTAAAAAATATTAATTATTATTTTGAATTTTTTTAATAGTTCAAAAAAAGAAATAAAAATATACAAATAGGGGAAGGTAGTTGGCTAATAAAAGAATGTATAAAAAAACATTTACAACATAAACGAGATTATAATGTTCGTAAAGATAAGCAATTTCAAAAAAAAGCAGATGAAGCATTAGGTATCAGATTTTATTTTTTAATATTCTGATTAAAATACAAATAAAATATCTAAATTTTATTTATTTATTAAAAAGAAAATGCCACCAATTCCAATGCCAATGCCAGCGCTAATGTCAGTGCCAATGCCAATGCCAATGTCAGCGCTAATGCTAAAGCCAATGCTAGCACCAGAGCTAATGCCAATGCCAGCACCAGAGCCAATGTCAATGCCAATACCAGTACCAATACCAATGCTAGTGTCAGTACCAATACCAATGCTAGTGTCAGTGCCAATGCCCAGTGATGTACATTTTTGATGTCCCAGAGATTTGTTGTCCCAGCTATATGTCCTAGTTATATGTCCCAACCTGTCCCACACTAAGTCCTAAATGTCCTATCTGTCCCATCTATGTCCCATCAGTGTCCTATCAATATCCCATGACAACACTGCCAATGCCAATGCCGCTAATGCTAATGTCAATGTCAATGTCAACTCTAGCAATATCACCAATGCCAATGCTAATGCCAGTTCCAATACTACCAGTGCTAATGCCAGCACCACCACCTTCAATGCCAGAGCCAGAACCAGAGCCAAAGCTAATGCCAGAGCCAATGCTAATACCAGCTCTAGTACCAGCGACAATGCTAATGCCAATGCTAATATCAATGTCAATGTCAATGCTATTAATGCTAATGCTAATACCACCAAAGCTAATATTATCAAAGCCAATACCAGAGCCAGAACCAAAGCTAATACTAATACCAGTGTCACCTCCAATATTAGCAAGAAAGTAAGACTTTCAAAAGATTATTTAGGTAACTTTTAAATTTTTATTTCTAATACTTAATAATAAAAATTCTTAAATTTAATTTTATGCTAATTAGTATTAAAACAAAAAAGAATATGAAAGTGAAATCAGTGAAATTAGCACTACTTCCAGTATTACCTTTAATTCTAACGCAAAATTTAATTTATCTTATGATAAAAATTTAGGTAAATTGAAATTCTTATTAATTCACTATATAAATGATAATTTTTATATTAACTTTATATTAACAAATATTAAAGAAAAAGAAAATGAAGATTCAATTAATGAAAATAAAAAAGGTAAGAAATTTATCTTTGATTTTTTTTTTTTTTACAAATTTATAATACTTATTTTTTATATTTATTTTGATTAATTTATATCAAAAGAAATATTATACAAAAGAACAAAAAGTGTAAGAAGGGAAAAATTTAAAAAATATTAATTTTTTAAATTTTTTTTAATTTTAATTTTTTTCTTAATTTTTAATTTTTTATTATATCAATAAAATCTAAATTGTTTATGATTTTGTTAAAGTATTATAAAATATACATTATATCTGTGATTTTTGCATTCGTTAAAGCATTAGAAATATATATTATATCCGTAATTTTTGCATTCATTAAAGCATTAGAAAATATACATTATATCCATGATTTTTACATTCGTTAAAGAATTAAAAATATATGTTATATCTGTGATTTTTGTATTCGTTAAAGCATTAGAAAATATACGTTATTTCTGTGATTTTTGTATTCGTTAAAGCATTAAAAAAATACGTTTTATCTGTAATTTTTGCATTTGTTAAAGCATTAGAAAATATACGTTATATCTGTAAAAAATCTGTATATATTTTAAACCGGTAATTAATCAGTTGATTGTCCAATTATTATTCTATATGATAAAATGATAACAATCATAGAGTTACATATGAAAATGTCTATTTATTGGAATTACTACCATGTAATTATTAATTTTTCTTGATCCCACTGAAAATTCCGCAGCAATAAAACAACAATAAATGTTGTGAACCGGTATGATCGAATCTCTAGCAATATCAAAAATTTATGTTCTCATAGCTCTATATTGCAACTTCTTACATCATTATTATCAATTCAGCATTGGAATCTTATTTGATGATTATGAACTGGCAGAAACCATCTAACATAAGCTAGACAATATGTATGTTTTTTATTAGACAATCGGATTTTATGTTCAAAGAAGTATTGAATCTGCTCAGGATACATTTCAATGATATTATTTTCTTGCATAAATTTGGCAAGAATAAATGAATTTTTCGAATATTTGGTAAAATTATCTGACCCAAATATTTCAGCACCAACCCGAATTCTTCTATATTGATTAATTCTTGGCATTATAACATTTGGATGATCAGATGTGCTTGTGCTCAATTCAGAAATGATCACAAATTTTACCTCATATGCATTATTATAATAATCTACTAAACATTTATATACATTATCCGGAAGGTTCACATTCATTCTTTTTGGTAACAGCATCTCTCCAGGATAATGTTCATTTCCGATAATTGTTTCTTCGATTTTGAGATTATAATTCTGCCTAAATCGACTAAGTTCATCAAACCTGAAATTATCATACATTGCCAAACTTCCCGAAGTTGCCCATGATTGTATCAATCTTAAGCCTTCAATAAGTTTTGTATTATCTGACTTACTAGATAAAAGATCGTCCAATCGCTAACTTTGCATAATAATTCGTAGTATTTCTGATTCTATTTGATGATATGAGTTAGGGTACGATCCTAATTAGAACAATAGAACAGCATGCATAATAAATATTAAATTAGTAATTTAACTTTAGTAAAAAATAAAAATTGATATTAATTGATATAATTTACCTAAAACACCATTCATTCTTTCGAATGAATAACACCAAAAAGAATATAAAGAATCGTAGTCTTTGCAGCATTTGGCTAGATAGAGGGAAAAATGGATGTTTGGTGTAATTACCTCTGGTCCATAATTTTCCTCTATTAGAAGAGCAACAGATAACAACCAGGTATGTGCTTTATTTAACATTTGTTTGTTAATTATTCGTGATACTAATAAGTAACATGTTCTAATGAAATTGGTCAAAATTTGTTGATCAGTGTCATCTAAAAGATCCCACATAATCGGCCTTACGTAAATCATAATGAATGTCTTCCACTGATCAGCTGTAAATCTGAAAAATCCCTCTCCTGTTGCTATTTTGTAAGGGATTCTTCCTAAATCAGCTGGTATTTTTATTTTTTTGGCCCGTTTTTCCATTAGCTCAAGGTGTACTTTGGAAATTTTACCTTCATCAATCTACAACTTCTTTACAATCCAATGAGCAATTCCCAAAAATAGGTAATGCATCGGGTCTACAACCAAATATCTTATTAGATCGTGATAGGGTAATCAGAGCATCTCAGAATATCTAACATGAGTCTTTCTAACATGCTGTATCCTATCATCCTTCGTTTGCTTATGTTTTCAAAGAATAGCATTATTCTGATGTTCTGATGGATCTTTCATTTTAAACCACTCATTCATATCTTCAAATTCTCCAAAATTTGCTTTCTAGCCTTCTTCTCTATCAGCTCTTTTATAACATCTATGACATCCGGCTAATGCTGATATATGTCCGCACAGCTTTCTAGCAGCTGGAATGTCATTACTGCAACAGATTATAGCCATCCTGATACTTTTACCATTAGGATAATTGTTTGTTGGTAATGTAATTCCTTTCCAGAATTCTAACAAATTGTCAATTATAGGTGCAAGAAAATGATTTATTTTGTGAAGTTTCGGCTCATTAGGACCTGGTAATAATGCTAATATTAGCATATTTTCTTTCTTGAACCTCACTTCACGAGGCAAGTTACAAATCACGCTGTATATTACGCCACTACTATAAGTGGCCGAATCGAATGGTTGAAACCAATCCAAGTTAATCATATTCTAAGATTGGAATCCGCAGTTTCGGAAGAGAAAAATAGTAAAGGGTTTGGTATGTCTAAACTTGATGGAAAATTTTGCCAAATTTCTCCATCATAAATATCTGACATCATATTGGTTCTAACATCTCATTCAGTTCATTTTTTCAAAAGTTATTCAAAATCTGATCTTTGATACATTGTAGTCACCTGAGTTTTTAAACATGATAAGGGATATATCAATTTTGGGCGCTAAACATGACCTTTAACTACCAGAACCTTCTTTAATACTTCTGATCCACAAGCTTTACGTTGATTTTTCATTGGATGATTTGGAAACTCAACGTGAGTATATTTAAATCCATTAAAACTGGTATGTGTTGAATTATTTAGAATTATATCATTAATATTATACAATTTATTACAATCCGGACAGACTGTAAAAGATTTTGACTTTTTAATTATTTTCAATATTTTTCGTGCCATAAAGGAAGTTAAAGGAAATTTCTTGAATTTATTTGAATCAACATTTTTCAATACAATGCTGAAAAACCCGATTAGTGAATTAGTTGCAACTTCTGATAATCAGAATCTTTCTTGATATTTAAAAATCCATAAAAGTATCCAAGAATTGTCATAATCCAAATTTGTGTAAGAAGTTGTTTCATAATCAAAGTCATCAAAACTGGGAGTTGTGAACAGGTCATCTTCGTTTGGCATATAACTATCATCTTCTGAAGTCATTTCTTCATCAACTGAACCCTCTTCACTGAAATAATCAGATAGTATTTCATGCTGGTCTATGATTTCTTTATTTGATTTTTGATAATGATCAACCCTTCTTCTTTTATTAATATTATGATCTTTCTTATTTTCGCCAGATATATACAAATCATATTTAGTAAGTGGAACAACTTCTTCTACGTTTTCATTGTAAGGATCTATATTACTAGACGACGACCCTTCTTTAATTGGATATGATGATCCTTTTTCAATTAGACTATCTTCCATCTCAAATAGTTGATTAGAATGCATACAGAATGATTCCAATTGAAGACGTTCTTCTTCATATTTCTTTCGTGTTCTTGGATCGACTATCTTTCCGTCACATTTTTTGCAATCACATGAAACTTTGTTTCTGGTAGTTGATAAACGTTTTTTGCTTTTCGAATGTTTTTTTATTTTTTTGTCATAAGAAAATTTATTTACGATTTACTTTATTTATAGGAAAAAAATATTAATATATGAATTGAATTAAAATCAAAT